CCCCAAAACCCCAAAACCCCAAAACCCCAAAACCCCAGAGTATAAAATTTAGGCTGAATTCTAAATTTAAAAAATAATGGAAACTATTCCTGCCAACAAACCTATTGATGTCATTAATAAATTATCCCTAATGAGCATAGTCGCACCCTATTACGGCTATGTCAATGAGTGAGCAGAACTGATGTTACAGCTGGACAAAAAGAGTAGAGAAGTTTGGCTGGGTAACCTTAAAGCTATACTAGAAGTCATCATGAACTACAGACAATGAACACTAGTCAAAGATATTCATAAGAACTTCACAAAGACAATCATGAAACGACTTTTACCAGCTAAAAGCTATCTATATTTCACTCTGAAAGTAAAACTCGGCTCTGAAGAGTCATTCAAAGCGATGATCCAGTTCATGGATCTGATGGGAGAAGTCACACTTAGATACCAGTTCGACCAGGTTCATATCAAAATGGAGGAGTTCACTAAAGGTATTTGAAATTTGTTCCTCCAGAAGTACATAGAGAAAGGATTCAATAAATAAAGCAATTGTCTTCAATTATGATAGATTGCTCTATGAAATGACCACTGCATTCGATATCAAAATGAGATATATCCATTTCGATTCAAGTGAAGTTAAGGAAAACTTCTATTCTGAAAACTTTGCTTCAAAGAAGTTTTTAGCAGGATGCGAAGAAATCGAGAAATGATATGTTCATAGCTTGAATTATCCTTTGGAATTATTAAATATGAACTTTAATTGGATATCTATAAATCCTAAGGTGCTTAGTGAGTCCTCCGTAGAACTCATGGAGTATAAATTTAGAAACGAAAACTGTAAAACCCTTGAATTTCACCATCAGGAATATTTAAGAGGCAGAATTGGAAGAAGACCTCATGAGCTTAGCAATGAGGAATTCTCTAGCTTGTTCTCTGATCTTGATGAATTCTCATCTAATTTACCTAATCTTGAGAACTTCTACACTAAATATGTTAAGTGTTTCAAGTATATTGTTTCTCAGCAATTCTTTCAGGAAAATGAAAACTATCAGAATTTATCAAAAATCAAAAATTTTACTTTTGAATCTGAGATTGATTATGACAGAGTTTGTTTGGACTTTAAGTGTCCTAAAGCTGAGATAATTTATCAAAATTCAGAAGATTCACATGTTTCTGCCTTCACAATCTCAGACATAGAGTTGAAACTCATGCCTGATGAATTCTGATATGACTCTGAACACCAGATTTTGGTGTTGGAGAAAGCTCCAAGTGCTTTGAAATTTAAAAATATCAGAATATGTAAAGATGAAATGAAGATTGCAGAGTTGGCAGACAAGATTGAAGGCAAGGTTTACCTGAATGTTGTAATAAACAGTCCACTTCTGAAGCCTGAAGGAGATTTATCCGCTTACGGATATCATTTGAACGGACATCTTAAGAAAACTCCGCTAGTAACATACAAGAATATAATATCAGAAAGTAGACCCCACTACATCTTTAATGCTTTTGTTGAGCCGGATAAATCAGATGCTTTAGGGATTTCCAAAGTTTGTAAACTCCACTTATCGAATATCATAAGATCTGTATCAAATCTTCCTACAAACGGAGTAGTGTCTATTTACATCCATGCTTATTTTGTCTTTGTGGATTACTGGTCATCTACTTATACAATATCCGATCAGGCAGAGACAATAAGAAATCGTAAAGGGAAGATAGCGAAAGAAATCACTAGAATTGATGCTAATGAGGATCTTTGTACCTTGATTGATAAGCTTAAGGGAATTAATTTATATGAATTTAGATGTGAAAGTATTATTGATAATGATGCAGTTGTTCAGAAGTTCTGCGAACTATGACGTACTAATCCATCTATCCGAGATATTGAGCTCAACCTAGAACATGCTAACCATGGAATGCAGATCCTGGAATCCTTAAAATACAATTACATCATCAAGACTGTCAGATTGATGACCCAAGAAGCCATCAAGGTTCCTTCTCAAAGTATAAAGTCTAGTAAGCCCAAGAAATCTAAAAAGAAGAACAAAGTTGCTCAGAAGCCTGAGTCTGCAGAGTCAATACAACTGTACAGTGAAATAATTTCTTACTGTGATGATTTCAGAAGGAAGAGATTGGGGACTGAAATAATGCTAAACACTAACCACAAGAAATATAAGCCATGAGAGAGAAAAGGATTCAATTTGAGTTACAGATAATAATTTTATTCAATGATATCCATCTATCTTGGGGTTTTGGGGTTTTGGGGTTTTGGGGG